GACTCACTGAACTTTCAAAAATGAATTTTGTGTTCCCTGTTTATTTGCCTAGTTTCTTTTGCTATTGATTTCTAGTTTAATTCCACTTTTATCTTTTAATATGAAAAAACTTATTTCAAGCTTTTGAATTTAAGACTTCTTGAGGCCTACAATTTTGGAGAACACTCTATGAGGTGCTGAAAAGAATATCTATTCTAAGGCTGCTATGAAGAAATCAACCAATAACAAATGCTGGCGGGTTGTGGGGAGAAAGGAGCCCTTCTCCATTGTTGATGGGAGTACAGACTGGTGCAAAGACTGTAGAAATCAATATGGAGATAACTCAAAAAACTCAGATCAGAGGTTCCATTTGGCCCAACTATCCATCTGCTGGGTATCTTTCCAAAAGAATTAAAAGAGTCATACCACAGCAATATATATGTACCTATGTTTATAGTGGCACAGTCTGTAATAGCTAAAACTTATAAACAACCCAATTGCCTATCAACTGTAGACTGGATAAAGAAGATATAGTTTTTCTATAAAATAGAGTACTACTCAGTTATAAAGAATGAGAAACTGGAGTCATTTATCAGAAAAGGGATGCATATTGAGGCAGTATTCAAGTGAAATAAATAGGACACATGTAAATACTGAATAGTTTCTTTGGTGTGAAAAACTAAAAGTGTCAATAAGGTTCAAATTGTAAAATTGATAATGTGAAATAGGAAGGAAAGGGCTGAAGCAGCAGGGGGAGTGGGAAGGGTAGGAGAAAGGAAAGAAGGACAAAGAAAAAATATGAGAAAAGAAAAAAATGTAAACAAAGTCTTTGTAAATAGGGAAGGGTGGAGGAGGGTGAATGGAAGGAAGGGGTATGGGGAAAAAATAAGACCAAAAATAATCATGTAAAGTTACAAGATCCCAATGATGAATGTAACTGTGTGTATACCTAAAAGGTACCAATAAACTTAATTTAAAAATCTATTCTGTAGTTCATGAATGAAATGGTTTATAGAAATCTGTTAAGTCTGCTTGATTTGGTGTAGTTTAACTCTGATGTTTCTTTGTTGATTCTTTGTCTGGATGACCTATTTCTTCTTGAGAATAGAATATTGAAGTTACACACTCTTACTGTATTGAGATCTATGTGTCCCTGTAGGTCGAGTAATGTTTGTTTTATGAATGTGGGTGCAAAGGTATTTGGTGTGTATATATTTACAATTGTTATATTTTCCTGGTAGATTGTTCCCTTGACCAATATGTAGTGAGCTTCGATTTTTTTAATTAATTTTGTCTTGAAATCTGCTACTCTTGCTTGATTTGGATTCTGTTTATATGGATTATTGTTTTCTATTTTTTCATTTTTAGTCAGTGTGTGCCTGTATTGCTGAGGTGTGTTTCCTGTAGGCAGTACAGATGGCTCTCTTTAAATCCAGTCTGCCAGTCTGTAATTTTTAATTGGAGAATTGAGAAATTTTTCCTTCAGAGTTATTATAGAAAGGTATATACTAATTCTAGTTTGTTTGTTTTTTTTAGCGTTTGAATCTTTTCCAGTTATCTATAACATACCTAATTTTCCTTTGCTAAATGTAGGATTAATCTAAATAATTCCTACAATGTTGGTTTAGAGGCATGGATTTCTTTAGATAACTTAGTCCTATGCTTATTTTAGAAGATCTTTATTTCTCTTTTCATTTAGAAGAATAGCATTGCTGGATAGAGTAATAAGGCTGGCAATTATTTTCTTTTTTGCCTTGAAGCATATCATCTGCTGCCTTCCTGGTTTTTAGCTTGTGCAAAGTTGTCTGCATTTATTCTGATAGGTTTGTTTCTATAATTATTTGGCATTTCTTTCTTGCAGCTTTCAATATTCTCTTCTTGTTCTGTACACCAAGGGGTATTTTCTTGTTCTGTATAAGCCAAGATATATTTCTGATAATGTTATGGTTTGTATCTAGATGTCCCCCCCAAAGCTTCATGTCATCATATGTGGGGCCTTTCAGAGATGGCTGGATCTAGGGTATGTGCTGCCGGAATCAAGGATGTGATGTTGGGATTGTTTTATGGGGCAATACTAGGATTATGGCTGCCCCATCCTGGGTGTGAGTCCTACCTGTCCTAAAGGTGGGTAGCCTGAATAGAATATAAAGGAAAGAAAAAGGGTCATGCTTGTTACTTGTAATTTGCTGATTGGTGCCTTCTGCCTATCTTGCTTTGCCATGGATAGGTTCTCCTCTGCAATGCCTCTCTTGCCTTAGAGCCAGCTGACTATGGACTAAAACCTCCACAAAGTGTGAGCTAAAATAAACCTTTCTTCCTTAACTTTAGATGTTGGGTATTTTGTCTCAGCAATGAGAAAAGTAACTAAGACAGATAATTTTGGCAGATGGCAAATAAAACACTAAGCTACATTCTGAAATAAGCAGCAAGGTGGGTAGTGGTGTCAGGCAGCCTGCTGGACTTAATGCCAGCATTATAATACCCAGCCCCCTCAGAAAACCATATATGACTGGCTTGGTTTCTCACCATAGAGGACAGGACCACTGTGTCCTTTCCAGACCAAGCTCCTTGTCGCTTGAACTTCTCAGGGAGTCTATGACTTGTTAGGTAAAAAGAGCCAAAAACCAGGACCAGACCAGGACAATAACAAGCTTTTATTATGGGGAGGATCTGTCAGGCTGCCTCTGAACAAAGGAGAAGAGAGAGCATCATAGCAGAACAGGGAGCTTCTTTTATAGGAGTGGGGTGGGGTCAGTCTCAGCTGGGGTGGATTTAAGTGAGGTAGTATTAAGAGATTGGACAAGCCTGTGATATCACTAGGAGAGTCTTGTGACATCACTAGCTTCTAGGAGGAGGTGGCAAGTATCAGGTTACTCTTTTGGTGGGAGAAGAACATGATGGGAAGAAGAAACCTGTCCTTTGTTGGGAGAAGCCATATTTTAACATGAAGGCTGCTATTCCATGTGGCATCCATCTTTAGGTGAGAGAAATATGACATGACTAACCTATCCTTGCTCCATTACTATTTTCTGTGGTTGTCTCTCCCACAGTTAATGTGGTAGGATGACTCCAGAAATGCTAAATTGTACTTATTCTGTGACTTCTAGTTCCCAGAACAGATCAGTTTTAAACAATTGACCCCTTCCCAAAGTGACTCCTCATTAATCATTTACAAACATGGCATATGCTGTAATGAATTTCTTTTCCACCTCTAGTCTGCCATACAGAATGATTCACTTTCAAAGTAAAATTCCACACTGTATTTGTAGTTTACAATAACTGAGCTTTTCTTTGGGCTAGTTCTGCCAGCTCTGTCCATTGTTTCTCACTGGGGCTGCTGGCCTTCTCTGTGCGTTTGCAGAGCCAACTCCCCCTGACCAGGAGCTGGGTTAACATTCCATACTTCTTTGTTTTTTTCTTTGCATTGTCTTCAGTTTTTCCTCTGTGTGTGTGTGTGTGTGTGTGTGTGTGTGTGAGAGAGAGAGAGAGAGAGAGAGAGATTTCTAGCTTACCTGTCAGCTTTTTCTTGCATCCCAGAGCTCTTTTCTGCTAAGTTGTTATTTCCAGGTATCTGGAGTGCAGATCCTGGAAAGGCTGTGATGTGCTACAAATCTTCACCATTTTTTCCTCCCTGGAGGATCAATTTAGCCAAACAATGGAGATTTCTGAGAAAGAACAGAAATATGAGAAGTAAAAAGCACAGTAAGTGAAATAAAAAACTCAGCACAAAGGCTCACCAATAGACTGAATCACACAGGAAGCATAATTTCAGGACCAGAAAAAAGGTTGATTAATTGTCACACGCACTAATAAATAAAAAGTAAGAAATTATGGACAAAATATCAAAAAAACTCTGTGGTATGGTTAAAGATGAAACTTAGACTTTTTCAAGTAGAAGAGGACACCACAGTTTAGACTGACAACATTAAAAAACCTATTTGATAAAATAATAAAATAAAACTTCCTGAATCTTGGGAAAGAAATTGATATCCAGGAAATGGAAAGCATTTAGAAGCTGAAACCAACATAACCAGAAAATAACCTCTCCATGTCACATTATAGTTAAAAATGCACGGAGCAAGGGGATTACCTAAAAAGCTCACAGGCTATGGAGCTACACAGAGATAGCAGCAGCTTAGATCTAGAGGGTCACAGACACTGAGAGCCAGTAGAGTGAATACAATCACAAAGCAGAGACGAAACCAATAATTGACCCTACCTAGCAGGAAAGAAAGGGCAGGAGTCAGCACTCACCACACCCACACACCCACCCATGAACACACATACACCCACACCGTGGGTGTGGAAATAAATTAGGCACTAGCTGTGACTCAAAATCCTTTTCCTTCACCTGGGAGATTCTCATACTATAGTCCCTGAAAAGAAATCACTCATCCAAACACAAAGAGAAATTTTTAGGGAGTTTTTTTCCCCCCTGCTTTTTCCTTTCCTTTGCTCTTTGTTTTATTTTTTCTTATTTCTGTTTTCTTTTTTCCTTTTCCTTTTAGCTAATTCTGTTAACTTTCTTTTATTCTTCAATTGAATTCTTTATCTTACTTTTCTTTCCTCTTCATCTTCCCTTTCTTTTTCAAGCATTACTTCTATTTTTCACTTTCTCTACCACCTCTATTTTTATTATTGTTACACTTAAGATGTACTAATAGCTTTTTAGATATTTAAATTGACTAAAAGCTATTATTGTTGAACTCATTTCTATTGTTATTGGTGATATAGTTGTTGAATTTAGTAGATATTTACTGTAGGTTGATATTTGGTTGGCTTCTGTCTATATTAGTACTGTAGATCACTTTTTTATTGATAAGGATGGTACAGTGGTAGCTTTCCTTGATTCTTATGATATGTCAATGCCTACTTTGTCTTTAACTCTATTATTATTGCTGATTTCTTTGCTATTACCAGTGGTGGCATAGTTGATTCTGTTAGTGTTTACTATATCCTTATAACTAGCCTGTCTTTGTATCATCAACATCAGTACAGTTTGTTTCTTCCTCTTTTTATAGTGTTGGGGATCAAGTCCCCAGAGGGTTGGACATGAAGAACCTCAAGTATTATGCTGTGTTCGAAGAAGGATATAAATACCAAAACATAACTAAAAACTAAGATACATCATAGTTGAACAGATTCTAATTAAAGATATTTACACAGCAAGGACAGAGTTTCTCTACCTTAATTGATCTTCCACCTGCTTCACAAAACAATAGAAATATGAAAAATCAGGCAACAAGATACCTATACTTCCAAAAGCTCTTACCTTATCAAAAGCTGATCTCATAAATACCGAAGTAGAGAAGGTTATAGCAAAACAATGAAAAAACAAATGGTCAAAATTTTTGAAGAGCTCAAAAAGAAACACACGAGCAATTTTATAAGACACTTAGAGTCTAAAGTATTTTATTACACAGATAAAGAATTTTACTAATGAAATGTTTGAAAAACTTAAAGAGAAATAAACAATAAACTGACTTAACACATACAAAATATGAATGACTAGTGTAGTAAATAATTGGAAATTGTGAAAAGCAAGCAGAAATACAAGATATGAAAAATTCATTCGAAAACATGCAAGCAGATTAAATATGAATACAGAGTGTGAGAAATTGAAAGTAAGGTGAATGTAATAGATCATAGACTAAATAATATGTTAAAAAATAAATTATAGGGGCCAGGGATTTAGCTCAGTGGTCCACTGCCTGCCTCGCAAGTGCAATGACCGGAGTATGATCCCCAGTACCAATAAATAAATAACAATGCAAGTCTGATTTAACAATTCCTATAAAACACAAAAATCTGAATTATATGAATAAATGAAAAATTAGAAAATGACTCAGAAGGAACAAAAATTTATTCACAGAAATCATAGCAGAAAACTTTACAAAATTGGATCTATTTAATATTTAAATACCAGAGGCATATAGAACCCCAAATAGCCACAGCCAGTAAAAAAACTCCATGATATATCACAATCAAAATTCTAGAAATTCAACAGAGAAAATGCTAAAAGCTGTTAGTGAAAAGTAGCAAATTTCTTATAGAGGTAAGCAGACTTTTCAGCACATAGCTTAAAAGTCAACAGATTGGAGCCATGTTGTTCAAGCCTTAGAAGAAATTTATTGTTAAGTTAGACTTCTATATTCTCCAAATTAGCCTTCAAAATTTACTCCATGACAAAGTAATCCTAAAGAAATACATGACCACAAGACCTGTATTGCAGAAATTCTTAAGGGAATCCTAAATAGAGACAAGGAGGACACCACTAACAGAGTAGTACAAAAGAAAGTATATCTCTAACTTGGAGGTTGATAAACTTATAGCCAAAGTTACCAAAAGAAAGAAAAACCCATGTCCACAAAATTAAGAATTAAAAAGGCAAAAATACAACCAGAATCACCAAAATATAAAGGATTAAAAAGAAACTACTTCAAAATGTATATTCCAGTAAGTTGGAGAACCTAGAAAAAATGGAGAAAATCCTACACATATGAAATACCAAAATTGAACAAAGAAATATAAAAACCGAGTAGACTTGTAACAGACAAGGAAATAGAGGCAGCATGGTACTGGCAAGGGATAGCTCAGTGGCAATGGTGCCTCCCTTGCAAGCCCAAGGTCATGAGTTTGATCCCCAGTACCAAAAACAAACAAACAACCACAACAACAAAACATATCCAGATCAGTAGAATGGAACAAAATAGAGTATGTAGAAATAACTGAGCAACAATCCATCATCTGATATTTGACAAAGTGGCCAAAAACAAGCTGGAGAAAGATAGCCTCCTCAACAAATGGAGCTGGGAAAATTGATTATCCACATGCACAAGTATGAGTTTGGACCCATTTTTCTCACCTTATACCGAAACAAAATCAAAATGGACCAAATATCTAGATATTAAAATGGAAACACCAAATCTTCTGGAAGATAAACTAAGAAAACTCTTGAAGACACAGGCATAAACAAGGACTTTCTGAACAGAACCTTACGTGAACACAAGAAATAACACCAAAAGCAATAAACAGAATTATAACAAATTAAACATCTTCTGCACAGCAAAGAAAATAACCAGTAGAATAAAGAGACAACCTACAGAATGAGAAAAAGGTTCTGCCAGCTCATAATTAAGCAGATGACTAATACCTAGCATGTATAAAGAACCACCCAAAATTAGACCCTTCCCTCAAAGACCCATTCAAAAATGGGCAAGTAAAATAAATTGACATCTCTCAAAAGTACAAATGGCCAATAAGTTCATGAAAAAAAGTTAAACATGGAAATAGCCTGGGCCCCGATCCACCAGGGGAAGGAGAACCACGCCTGCTCCCGACCCAGCTGCCATCGCTCAAGTGCCTGGAAGGTAGTGCTCAGGCGCCCCTGAACCCCCATAAGCCCCCCTCATAAGCACTCTCAGACCTTCTGACTGTGCCAGTCTTTGGACCCACTCTGCAGAGACAGAGGTGGTCATCAAGTGTATTTTTCTGAGTTCCCAACTTTGAACATCTTTAAAGAAAGTGTGTGGGAAACCTGTAATAGAACGTTGTGGAGTTCAACCATTCAGAAGGTTGGGGAACTCAATCTGGGTCTTGCAGCCTGAGGTCACTCAGCATCATGGGGTTCAGCCATCAGCGAACTGAGATCAGGGGTCTTGCATCCTCGCTGTGTCTGAGCCATTAAATGGTAAATACACTATATTGAAATTTTGTTCACTGAAGACATGTTCTGGACTGCTTCTTGATTTCAATTTAATTCAAATGATTTAAGGGTGATAGACTAGTGACTACCACAGGTGGTCAGTGTCCAAGTTGTGCTTGATCTTAATGTGCTGCTGATTGTATCAGTTGGGGTAAAGCATTGTGGTTGATTTGATGAGCTGTTTTCTCTGATGTTATGAAGATGAGAATGTCTGTGGGTCGTTAGAGACACAGAAGCTAGGGGGCAACTATATCAGGAAGATTTGGGTGATAATCCAGAGATTAAACCAAGGACAGTCTGACAACAAAAATAAAAATGAGGAAACACTTAAGCAAGACACAAGGACAGACTTCCAGTTTACCAATGGCAAAAAGTAGGGCAAATGAGGATGAAAAGGCTGATAGTGAATCACCAGGACACCCTGATCTCAAAGCACAGGAAGTAACAAAACAGATCAATCAGGCTCTAGAAAAATTCAAAACAGAAATAATTTCCCAGATAACCATAGAGATAGTGAGCAAAATGGAAGTCATGATTTGAGACTCTAGAACAGAAACTGACAAAAAAATAGATGAGCTCAGGACCATGATAGAAGCCATGAAGGCCCAGCATAAGAAAGAAATGGAAAAAATAAACGCCCAACATAGGAAAGAAATGGAATCCATAAAACAGATTCAAACAGATATCCAGGAGATTAAACACTCCATTGAAGGTGTACGCAACAGAATAAAAGAATGCAAAGATAGACTCTCAGATATAGAAAATAAGATTGCAGTCAGCGACAATGAAAAGAGAGGTCTCTTAAAAACAATAGGGGATCATGAGAAATCGATCCAGCAACTCCTAGATGATGCAAAGAAGAATAACATAAGACTGATAGGAATCCATGAAGTAGCAGGAGAAAATGCAAATGACTTTAAAAAGCTGTTCACAGAATTAATGACAGAAAACTTCCCAGAGGGGAAGAATTTGACATTCAGATAAGTGAGGCATATAGGACCCCAACTAGCTACAATTTAAAAAAAAATCTACACCTCGACATATAATAATCAAGATCCTAGAAACCCAACAGAAGAACAAAATACTACAAGCAGTAAGAGAAAAGAAACAAATCACATACAAAGGAAAGCCCATCAGAATCAAAGCAGACTTTTCAACACAAACCCTTGGGGCAAGGA